AAAAACCCCAAAAACAAAACTATGATTTCAGAGTTATTAAAGCACTACTTGCTGGGGATTTAGCTCAGTGGTTCTGCCGATTGCCTCCCAAGCGCAAGGACCTGAGTTCAATCCCCGGTACAAAAAAAAAAAAAAAAAAGCACTACTTTATAGAACCAACAGGAAACTGAGGCACATTGAGGTTAAATAACTTGCTTGGCCAGTAAGTGGCTGAGCTGAGAGTCCAAGTGGGACAAGCTGAGTCCAGAGCAGCAGCTCTTGCCCATCATAGCCCCTCTGCATTGGGCACATGTCATTTTCCAGATTGTCACACACATTCTCTCACTTGATTCTCATACCCACAGTGGGAGCTATTGGTAGGTGCCATAATTATGGTTTTTTGTGTGGATGGGTGAAGGAATGGGTAAGACCCCAGCCAGTTGGGCTAAAATCCCATTTCCTACTGATTGGTTTTGTCTGTGGACAACCTTATTCTTGTCTGAAAATGAAGATACTGTTGTGCCAGCTAGATGAGTCTCTGTTTGTAAGGTGATTAGAACAGTACCAGACAGTTCATGCTTGATAAGAATTAGCCATGATGGGGAAACAGACACAGAAAGGTGATATGACCTGCCCAAAGTTACACAGCTCATAGTCTGCCACCAGGTTGAGTTTCTCTGACAGCCAAGTTGCATTCTTTCTGTTTTCCCTGAACCAGCATCTTTGTGGAGGGTGGACAGTAGTATGGTAGAATCTGGAAGCCTCTCAATCCAACAGACCTCATCCCTTACACTTCATTTATTTTCTCTCAGAAGTTCCACCTTGTGCCAAGCATCAATGCTGTGAGTGGCAGCCAGGAATTGCAGTGGATGGTGCAGCCTCATTTCCTGGGGCCAAGCAGCTACCCCAGGCCTCTGGCCTACCCCCAGTACAGTCCCCCACAGCTCAGGCCAGGAGTCATTCGGGCCCTGGGGCCACCTTCAGGGGTGCGTCGAAGGCCTTGTGAACAGGTAAGCAACAGAGGTGTTGCAGTTGTGCTGAATGCCCACAGGGGTGCTAGCTGGACAAGCTCTTGCTGGAGAGCACAGGCTTAGAAGGGGGAAGGTAAGGCTATTATGACTACTGCACAAAGCAAAAAGTCATAGGATCTGTCCCCGGGAAGGCCCAGAAGGCAAAGAGGTCACTTCTGGGTCAGGAAAAGCTTCCTGGCAAAGGCGGCATGTAACCTAGAAGGTGGGTGGGATTTGCATAGGGAGAGGGGATGGCAGGAACAAGAACTGAGGTGGAGGGGAGAGAATGTAAGGTATGCATGTGGAGAAGCGAGAGGGTCTCCACCTGCTGACATGTGTGGTGGGCACAGACTTAAGCTGTCAGTAACTGGGGAGAGAACTGGAACAAGAGGGTTCCCTTCTGCTATTCTTTGGGTCTCAGTTCCCTTATCTGATTTAATCCTCACAAAAACCCTCTAGGAAATACACTTTGGCTTTTTCCATCTTCCAGCTGAGGAAACAGGCACAGAGAGATAGTCATTTGCCTAGGATCACACAAGACAGGATTGTCCTTGGCCCCAGGTCCACCCAACTCTAAAGTCAGATCCTGAGCATGGAGGAGCTAACAGAAGGCTCCTGGCAGAAGGAGCTGAGAACCCCCTTCTCCTCCAAATAAATGAGTAAGAGATGGAGGGTCTGTGAGGGAGTGGTTCTCCTTTCCCCTCTTTGGGTGGGGGTGGTATATGAGACTATGGTGGGATTAAAAGCTTGCTATGAAAAAAAGAAAAAGCTTGCTTTTTCCTGGGCATGGTGATACATGCTTGTAATCCCAGCACTTGGAAGCCTGAGGCAGGAGGTTTGAAGAGTTAAGGCCATCCTGCACTATATAGCTATATAGCAAATTCAAGGTCAGCTTGGGACATAATGAGACCTTATTTAAAAAGAAGAAAAAGACAAAAAGCTTGTTCTTAAGGCTGGGTAGAGGATGGGGGAAGGAGTTGGGGACCCTGGGAGAAAGGTGAGATCAGCCAGGAGCAGATGTCCCAGAAACAGAATGGCTGGCTTTTGTGAGCAACTGGAGAAAGGGACTGGGATGTGAGCAGAGACAGACCAGGGCTAACTCCCCACCCCATACTTCTTCCTTCAGCCTTGCGTGTGACCCTTTGATCCTGGGTACTACCAGGTTGGGGCTGTAAGCTTTCAGGGAGGTCCTACTGGGAGAGGGGACCTCCATCAGCTGCTTCTCCCTCAATGCAAAAAGAATGACTGGATATTAATTCTTACTCTGGAACCATGAACAAGACCATGAACAAGACACTCATCCTCCTTGGGCTTCATTTCCTTGCGTGGCAAATTGGATGAAGAATCTATGTAAGGGCTGGGGCTGGGGCTCAGGCTTAGTGGTAGAGTGCTTGCCTAGCATCAGTTAGCACATCAGGAAAAGGAGAAGGTATAGAAGCAGCTAGGTAAAGTGCCTAGCTGGCACATAGTAGGCTCACAATAAATTGCAACTTATTCAGCAGCATTTATGAGCCCCTCCTACAGTTTGTAGTTCCTGGGATAAGAGGAGATTTGGTCTTCCAGAGATCTAGAAGGATTAGAGTCCTGTGAAAAGGGATAACCCAGTCCCAGGGGCTCAGAGGAGGAAAGACACTCCCACCTGGGAAATGAGAAGGCTTCCAGGAGGCGAGGGCATCTTACCTGAACTCTACATGAGGAAGGTTAGATTTGTGGACAGGGAAGGGGATTATGGGAGAGAAATACTTAGGTGCCAAAGCCAAGTCCCCAAGGATATTTGACCCTGAGTGTAGAGAACTAGGTGGGGTGTGGCAGTCCCTAAATTACAGGCTGAGCCCCCCACGCCCACCCGGCGCTGCCACGCTTCTGCTAGTTCTACCACTGGGCGATAGTAAGCTCCGGGGAGCAAATGGCTTGGGCTCTGCCTCACTGCTGCCCCATCCCTACCCCCAGATCAGCCCAGAGGAGGAGGAGCGCCGCCGAGTGAGGCGCGAGCGAAACAAACTGGCTGCGGCCAAGTGCAGGAACCGGAGGAAGGAACTGACCGACTTCCTGCAGGCGGTGAGTACTGGTTCTGGCCCACCGGGCCTAGGAGGGTCCCCAGCGCCCGCAGGCCCCAGTCTATTAGTCCTCCACACCCTACCCTAGATCTGTGTCTGAAGGGCAGTTGTTCTGGGAAAAGGAGGAAAATACAATTAAACATTAGTTGTAATGCACCTAGCAGCAGAACGTAGCGTAGCCAAGGTTAGCGGGCAATCTTCTTTCAAGATGCCCAGGGCCTGATGGGAGTCATGCCTATTTTCTCCTGTGGACTCATGGGAGTTGCATTACAGACCTGCTGGGGACTCCCCCCCCACCCCCTCCAGAGGCTTTGGGGTCTTCAGCCCTCATCTTCCCAACTCTTCCCCCGACACTCTGTAGGAGACTGACAAACTGGAGGATGAGAAATCCGGGCTGCAGCGAGAGATAGAGGAGCTGCAGAAGCAGAAGGAGCGCCTGGAGCTGGTGCTGGAAGCCCACCGCCCCATCTGCAAAATCCCAGAAGTAGACAAGGACAGGGATCCAGGTGGTGCCAGCAGTACCAGTGGCACCACCAGCCCACCAGCCCCCTGCCGTCCTATACCTTGTATTTCCCTTTCCCCGGGCCTCGTGCTTGAACCCGAGGCATTGCACACCCCAACACTCATGACCACACCCTCCCTGACTCCTTTTACCCCCAGTCTGGTCTTCACCTATCCCAGCACCCCTGAGCCTTGTGCCTCAGCTCATCGAAAGAGTAGCAGCAGCAGTGGGGACCCATCTTCAGACCCTCTAGGCTCCCCAACCCTCCTTGCTTTGTGAGACACCCAGTCCCACCCCTGCAGATGCTAACCTAGCCAACATTTCCCTTTCCCCCATTGGTCCAGCAGGCCTGGATCATATTCCATACCCAATGCCAGTAGTTTCTTCTCCATCCCTCTTGATGAGACTGAGCATATTTTGCTTCTCAGTAGAGCCAGCTTGGGGCTACCAAAGCTGCTCACTGTTTCTCTAGAGCTGGCCTCTCCATCCCAATTTGGACTAAACCAGAGACAAAATATTTCCATTTGTGCCAGAGAAATGCTATCGTACCAAGACTAACCCTATCCCATTCTAGACCATTCCCAAACTCCATCACCCTCTTCTTTTGATCCAGCCAAGCCCACCCTGACAGAAGGTGCCATTTTACCAGCCTAGAACACTAATTCATCCAGCCTCACTGCCAGCAGCACCAGCTCATTGGACTAGGGATTCTGCAGGCTCCTCCTGAATGGCACAGTTCAGGAGGTGCCAGAGGCTTCTGTGATGAGCTAACTTGTAGCCCCCAGCTCTGAGAAACCTCTAGCTCCAGGAAATCCAAGCCCCCACATCGAGGGCAGCTGCTATTTATTTTCCTAGAGAGAATATTTTTATACAGTCCTGCCAAAATGGAATAAATGTCTTGATGCTCTGGCTGGATGTCTGGATGGATGCAGAAGCTAAAGGGAGGCAATTTGCAGCCTGAAGCTCTAGGTTCCAGCGTCAGTTTCTGACACACTGCGTGACCCTGGACAATTTAAAAAATATTTTTGGACCTCAACTGTCTTATCTGACAAATGGCGCTACATTCGCTCTGCCACAGCTACAGGATTCAGAGTATTGTGGGGTGCAAGCAAAGAGTGCTCTTGCTTGTGCCATAGGGGGGCGCCGGTATGTCCCCTTCCACCTTCGGAGAATGGTCAGTGGGTTCTAGGTCCCCAACACCTGCTTCCTGCCCCATTGTCTTGGACAGGAAGGAGGTGGGGAGGGAGCTGGAGCCACTTCAGGGCTGCCCCGGCGCCCGACTGGGGAAGTCCGTGGTTTACCACCGTCCCGCATCCCACCCCAACCTCGAGATAATGAAAGAGTCAGCCACCTTAGTTCTGCAGTCCCTTCGAGGGTGCTACCCCGTCTCAGCGATCCTGCCCTCATCCCAGCCCCGGCGAGTCCCAAACAGACGCTGCCAAGGCTTCGGGCTCGGCTTCCATCCCGGTTTATTAGTCCCCACACAACCCCCAGTAAGTCCCTCCGCTCCAGCCTTCAGTTCCCCTGCTGCCCCGCCAGCGAGATCGAGGGGGCCTCCTTAGTACCAGGGCTTCTTCGTCCATGCCAGCGCCCAGATCCCAAGGTCCACAGCAGTCCGGGCGCTCAGGGAGCAATCCGGGCGGGCATCGGCGTAGAAGCAGCGCCCTCAGTCGTCGGGGGAGCAGGCCAGGGGCAACTGATCCGGGCTGCCCACGCTGCCGGTGCTGGAGCTACCGTCGCCTAGGTCGCGGGGTCCGCAGGGGGGGAGGGCAAGCTCGGGTGTCGGGCCGGCGCCTGAGCCTCCCGCGCCCCCGGGGCCGCCTCGGGGACCCCACTCCTCGCCCAGCGCCAGGCAGAGCTCCTTAAGCGCCAGATTCTCCCGCAGCAGCTCCTCCTGTCGGCCCTCCAGCTCGGCTAGCTTCTGCCAACAGCCACCCAGGTCCTCGCGCACCGCCCTGGATGCTTGGGTCCCGAAAAGCTGCCACTGGCGCGCCGCGCGCCGCCCGCGCTGGCGCTCCGAGTCCAGAAAGCAGCAGAGGTCGCGCAGCTCGCGATTCTCGGCCTGCAGGCGCCGGTTGAGCTGCTTGAGCTCGCGGATCTCGCCCAGGTGACCCTGCAGCTGCCGATTCACCTCCTGCATGAGGCGGCCGCGCTGCACCAGTGCGGCCAGGCGCGCTGCCTCTTCTCGCCTCAGGCGCCGCACCAGCTCCTCTTTGCCCAGCGCCGCCATCTCGTCATCTGTCAGCTCCTCCAGGCCGCCTGCCTCGGCCTCCATGCCTGCTCAGGCCGCTGGAGCATCGCCCGCTCGCCGCGGCGGTCCAGAAGCAAACGCCCGGCCTGGAGCCTCTCTGGGTCCAGCTCAGCGGGCGGTGGACAGTGGCAGAGACAGCGTAGGCTGCAGCAGCCACCCGGGGGTGGGCACGCGGCGGGGCGCGCGCCGGGGCGGGACCGCCTGACGTTTCGGAAGGGCAACCAATCAGAGAAGCTTTCCGGAAAGGGGCGGGACCCGGGTGCAAAGAAGCAGTTCCCTGTCCACTCCAGAGTGAGGGGTCAAGATCTCCATCGCACATCGCACATCGCACCCCGGCATCCTTGCCTTCTGCACTGGTCTCAACCAGACTTGGAGACAAATTCCGAATCTCCTTAAACTCGAACCTAGGCCCCTTAGCTTCTTCAGAAGATTCGGGTGAGAAAAAAAAAGATTCAAGTGTCCTCCCTGACTCTTAATCACCCTACTCTGGAATCCAGAAGGGTTGCTTTCCAGGTCATCCCAAAATGGAGCTGAGGAGTCTGGGCTCATTAAGCATGGCTCCCAACTAACTCCTCAGAATCCGGAATCCAGACCTCCCGGCTCATTGTTAGCCCGCCTTCTCTCCCCGGGAGCATTTCCTGTGTGGAAGTAGGGGTGGAAATCCAAGGGGTTCGTATGTTCAATAAACTTTCATTTTGTGTAAGACTCATGCAGAAATACACTCGACCAAGATACTGACCTTGACCTCATAAGGTCACAATCTGGCAGAGAAAACAGGGAAATGTGGGAGGAGGACTGGGGATGTAGTACAGTGACAGCATTTGCCTAACACAAGCAAATCCCTTGTTCAACCCCAGCACCAAAAAGAAGAATGGAAGAGAGCAGGAATACGTTGTCAGAGATCCCAAACATATTTCCCAAAGAGGTGATACCAACGGGGCCCTGAAAGATGCATAGGGCTTTGCCAAGTAAAGAGAGAGCTATGCGAGGGAGTGGATAATAGTGTGGTGAGACACTGATGCCACAAAAAGCCTAGCTACTTTAGAAACAATGAGGGTAGCTTTATCTTTTTTGAAAGGCAGATGTGTGCAGAAAGTGGCAAGACAGGGAAGGAGCTTTCAGGGTGGGTGGAAGCTAGAATTTTAAGAGCTTTCAATACTAGATTGGAGTGTTTCCAAAGGTCAGTAAGGATTTTAAACAGGGGAGTAACATTTTTAAATATGCATTTTTAAAAGATTGTTCAGCTCCTCTGTGTGGGATGGGCCCTAGAGAGAAAGGATATAGGCTGGGAGACTAGTAACACTGTGTCGGATGAGGTAGAAGAGATATGCAGAAAGACTAGGCTGGGACAGTTGGAGTGGAGAAAACGAAACAGATACTGCAGATATTTAGGTGGCAAATCAGCAGAACTGAAAGTAGGGAGAGAAAATCTGGGAGACAGCCCAGGTTTCTACTGTGAGAACTGGGTGGATGTTGGGGTTGTGTAACTGCAATAGGGATGCAGGAAAGAAACAGATTGGGAAGTGAGAATGTCTAGAATGTGTTAAAATTTCAAAGTGCTTTATGGGAAGACCATGTGGAGAGACTTGGCAGAGAGGCAGTCAGGCAAGTGGGGGCCTTCCAGGCAGAGCTCAGAGGGACAAAATAAGCTTGTGTGAGGAGGGGTGTGTGGTTAAAACCATGCGGAAGCAGGTGCTCATAGTCCAAGAGAGATGCTCCTCCGCAGGAGGGACACAGGGTCCCCCAGCAAGAGCCCTTCATAGCAGGACCCCACACTCGTTTCGCAGAGAAAACATTTAGCATAGAGCCCTGTGACACTTCTAAATTTAGGATATAGGTCAAAGTTGGGAGGCCGCAGAAGGCAGAGACAGTGGGAGAAAAAGCCAGGAGGAAGTGAGGAGTGGGTTTTCGGGGGAGAGGAGGCTGACGGGAGCACTATGAGGTGTTTTGTGTTTTTTTTGAAACGGTCTCACAGTGTAGTTCAGGCTGATGATCTTGAACTCACTATGTAGCCCAGGCTGGCCTCGAACTTGCAGCAATCCTCCTGCCTTAGTCTATGTTCTTCCACCACGCCCCGCGCTCCAGACTCTCCTAGAAAACCGCTGGGAAGGCCAGAGTAGGCGGGGAAGACGAGCCTAGCCTCCTCCCAGCAGAAGGAGGACCAGCTACTTCCACAGCCCAGGCCTCCGCCTCTTTTCTTGTGGCTCCCGCCCCCACCGGCTCCTTACCGGAAATGGGCCTTCACCGGCTCCGGGTGCTCGGAGCGGAATCTCTGCGCTCCCGGAAGTGGCCCAGGGGCACCGCGCCCGGCCCGGGCAGTGCTAGCTCCTGCTCGGGGCGCCCCGGGCCCGGGCATAGCCATGACCAACGAGCTGGACATTTTTGTGGGGAACACGACTCTTATCGATGAGGACGTGTATCGCTTGTGGCTGGATGGCTACTCAGGTCTGTGTGCGGCCGCCTGGGGGAGCCGGTCCGGCGGAGCGTTGTTTTGTATGGGAGAGGGGCGGAACCAGGATTTGGGTGTCCTTTAGGGAAGTTGTCAGGCGGCTGGGAATAAGGGATGTAGAGAAGTTGGGGCCGAACTTCTTGAGGGTCTTTGAGGTTGGCACAGTGGGGCTGATATTAGCGCCCACTCTTCAGTGAGTGATGCGGTGGCTCGACGAGTGCGCTCCGGAATCCTGGAGCAGACGGGAGCCACGGCAGCCGTGCTGCAGAGCGACACCATGGACCACTATCGCACCTTCCACATGCTCGAGCGCCTGCTGCATGCGCCCCCCAAACTGCTGCACCAGCTCATCTTCCAGATCCCGCCCTCCCGGCAGGCTCTGCTCATTGAGAGGTGCTCAATTGGTGGATGGTGGGGACGCTAGCCACTATAACCATATACCCACTTTACAGGCTGAAACTGAGGCGGGGGTGGGGGGTGGGGATGGGACTTACCCAGGATCTCAGAAAGTTGGGAACAGAAAGGGCCAGTCCCAGGCCCCACCAGGCCCCTTTTCTCCTTCTTTATGAAGGGTCACTGATGTCCTGCCTCCACCAGGTACTATGCTTTTGATGAGGCCTTTGTTCGGGAGGTCCTGGGCAAGAAGCTGTCCAAGGGTACCAAGAAAGACCTGGACGACATCAGCACCAAAACAGGCATCACCCTTAAGAGCTGCCGGAGACAGGTGGGCACTGCACTCACATGTATACCACATCCCACCTACTGTCTACTCCCTCACTTCATCCCTTGGCCATTGCCCCAGCTCTAGCCTCTGATTGTGGCAGCAACTTCCTACCAGTTTCTTCTTCCCCTTTTGTCTCTATTAACCCATCCCCTCCAGTATGGCCAGAGTAGCTTTTCACAGACCCAGATCTGACCACAGCTTTCCCCTGCTCAAACTGATTGGCTCCCATTGCTTCCTGGATAGCAGCTGCATTCCTTGTCCTTAACCTTTAGGCTCTCCTGCAAACCTCTCTAAGTTTACATTTTTACATTTTTCTCATCTTGTTCCCACCTGGAAGGTACTGTTCTTGGTTATATCTACTCCTTGAAGTCCAAGGCAGGGGACCACAAGACTTTTTGGTGATGCTAAGGAGAAGTAACCCTTCTGGGCCTTTGATGCCTTTCATCTGTGACTCCTGTGAGCTGCTATGTACACCTTAGCATTTGCTCATTTCAAGTTCCTGGGATTAAGCCAAGAGAGTCTGTTCTGGCTCAGGCTTCTGAAGAACCAGAGAATATGATGCTAAAATGGAGTTGAATATGGAGCTAGGAGTTCAGTCCAACACAAGATGACAGAAGCCAGTAAACATTTGACTTGATAACAGCTACTAATAACTAGTAGTTTGTTGAAGGAATAACAAGTGCTAAATCAGCACTGCTGACTAGATAGGTAGATAGGAGAGAGAGGGGTATTCGATAAGCTTTCACTGGGTGAGTACCTTCTAACCAGTTCTCCTCTTCCCCTAACTGCCTTGCAGTTTGACAACTTTAAGCGAGTCTTCAAGGTGGTGGAGGAAATGCGGGGCTCCCTCGTGGATAACATCCAGCAACACTTCCTCCTCTCTGACCGGTTGTCCAGGTGAGGGGCCAGCCATTTGCCCACCTGCACAAATCTTCCCTGGCTCTGAAGCCAGTCCACTTTCCCCACCTCAACCCCATTCACTTCCTGGCTGTGCTGGGGGGATGGTCATCTGACTTTTTGGATCAGACTGACCTGGGTTTGAATCCCAGTAGGACCATTTTCCAGCTGGGCTGTTGGGAGTGGCACACTTAGGAAGTCTTCAGTATGGTAGCTAATAGCCTTGTACTCTCCTACTTTGACCCTTAGGAAACCTAGGCTGAAACCTCTGCAGAGATGAGGAGGCCCATAGAGAAGTGACCCACACAGTGGGTTGGAACAGAAAAGAGGCCACAACTTGGCTGCCTAGGCTCTCCAAAAACTTGCCTTTTACCCGCCTCAGCCGCCCAAGTAGCCAAGATCACAGGCAGAAATTTTTTTTCTCAGTACTAGGGATTTAATCCAGGGTCTCCACACTCAGCTACATCCCTAGCTCTTTTCTAATTTTTAAAATTTTGACATAGGGTCTCACTAAGTCACTAAATTCCCAAGCTAGGCTCGAACTTGTGATCCTCCTGTCTTAATATCTCAGAGTGCTGAGATTACAGGTGTATGCCACCATGCCAAGCTAGGAATTTTTTTATTCAACAATATTTATTAAGTAAGTTTAATATTCAGCATACCACGATAGGCGCAATGAGAAGGACTTTCAAGCCTTGAGAGGATCCATTGTCCCCTACCTGCAGGGACTATGCAGCCATCGTCTTCTTTGCCAATAACCGATTTGAAACAGGAAAGAAAAAGCTGCAGTATCTGAGCTTTGGTGACTTTGCCTTCTGTGCTGAGCTCATGATCCAGAACTGGACCCTTGGAGCCGTCGGTGAGGCCCCCACCAACCCAGGTGCCTGGACGCTCCCTACCCTCTCAGGGCCTGGTTCCCCACCAGCAGTTCTTCCTGCAGGTCCCCAGTTCCTAGCATCCTTTCTTCTTCTCTTATCTTTTTGAGGCCAGGCCTTGCTATATAGTCCAGGCTGACCTGGAACTTGCCTTCATCCTGCCTCAGCCTCCGGAGAGCTGGGATTATAGGCATGTACCATGTCCAGCTTACATCCTTTCTTCTTCAGGCCTCCACTCAGGCCTGAGTCTCTTCTGCTCATAGTCTGCATTCCCCATACACACCTTGTCTATAAACCAAGGGGTCACTGCCTCTATGGCCTGGAGCATGGCACTACCCCTCTGGAACCTCAGTTCCCCTGTGTCCCTTGGGGATCAATGAGTGGTGGGTAAGGCAGGTTCAGGATCTCACAGAGTGGGTCTATTACCCACCCCAACTCCTTCCATGGGCCTCATGCAGACTCCCAGGTGGATGACATGGATGTGGACTTAGACAAGGAGTTTCTCCAGGACTTGAAGGAGCTCAAGGTGCTAGTGGCTGATAAGGACCTTCTGGACTTGCACAAGAGGTGACCTTGGGGGATCCATGGGACAGGGTCTGAAGTAGGGCTCAGGTGGCTCTAGGCATGACCCTGTCTCCCTGCAGCCTGGTGTGCACCGCCCTCCGGGGAAAACTCAGCGTCTTCTCTGAGATGGAAGCTAACTTCAAGGTCTGTGGCCCCATCCAGCCTTTCCCTTGGGCATCTTCAACCTCCCTGTACTACCCCTGCCTAGCAACTCAGCACTGGCTGGAGATTGACCGGCAGGTGGCACTGCTGCTCCCTCTGCCTGCCTGTGAGGGGGAAACAACTTGGAAAGAGGGGACCTGGTCGATTGAGGGAGGTGGATAGATTTGGAGAGGGGCCTGCCCCTCCCCCAGCTTCTGTGCTCAGCCTCCAGCTTCTGGGGCAGAAGACAGAACTCCTAGAATCCCTGCCCCACAGAACCTGTCTCGGGGGCTGGTGAATGTGGCTGCCAAGCTGATCCACAATAAGGACGTCAGAGACCTGTTTGTGGACCTTATCGAAAAAGTGAGCTTCCCTGCCCACCATCCACCCATCCCTCGCTTGACCTGTCCCTGGGCTATACTGGTGGCACTAAATGTTCCCTTTTGCCCACAGTTTGTGGAACCCTGCCGCTCTGACCACTGGCCGCTGAATGATGTGCGGCTCTTCCTGAATCAGTATTCAGCATCTGTCCACTCCTTGGATGGTTTTCGGTAAGAGATCCCAGTCCTCCTGTCTAGCTGGACTTTGACCCAGCTGGCCACTTGTCTCAAGTTCTCCACTGTGCCACCCTACGGGTCGAAGTCTCTAGTTCAACCACTTAGATTCTGTGTGACCTTGGGCAAGTTATTTAATCTCTCCACACCTCAGTTTCCTCTTAGGTAAACTGAGGGTAATAATTAGAAGAATCAAGAATTGATGAAGAGTAATTGGGTTGGGGATGTGCTCAGTGGTGTAGTGCTTGCCTAGCATGTGCAAGGCCCTGGGTTTGATGCCCAGCACCACACCAGAAAAAGAGACTTGATGAGGACTTAATGAGTTAAGGTATAGAAAGCACTCACAGCAGTGTCTCACCTGTGGAGAGCATTGAGGGAATATCGGCCATCATTGTTGCTGTTTCCATTCCAGGCACCAGACCCTCTGGGACCGCTACATGGGCACCCTCCGTGGCTGCCTCCTACGCCTCTATCATGACTAAGAGCCCCTTCCTCCACTCTGCTCATTGTGACAATAAAGTTGCCATGAGTTTGGACACTGAGCCTTGCTGCAGGGAGAGGAGCCTGTGGAGGCATGCATAGTGTACATGTGTGTCCCTGAGTGCCACAATGTTCACGCACGAAGATACAGTGTACTCCAGCCTGTAGGAACTGGGATGGTCAGAAGTGCTGTCTGTGCTCTCCCCACCTACCATCTCCAAGCTCCAGCTGACTCTACTTGGGAAGTAGAAATCTTGTCTTGATTTATTCACATGGTGTGGAGAAAGCTGGGAGGACAAGCAGAACCCTTGGGATGGGGCAGTGAAGAGGCAGCTGGCATGCAGGAGAGGCTCAGAGAGGACAGGAGACCTGCTGCTTCTCAGCTGGATCACCTATACAGGCTGTGAGTGGGGACCTGGTGATGCCGCAGGTGTTGCTCCCTTGGTGCAACCGAAAGTAGCCCTAGGAAGTTAGGGGACATCAGGCCCAGAAGGTGGGGAAGGGCCTGTTCTGCCCTGTCCCTTCTGCCAGTGGACCTGCTCACCTGCTCACCCCAGTGGGCCCCCCAAGAGTTCTTCAGGATCCAATAGGGGGTGGAATGGCGAGGAAGATGATTGGACTGGGACAGATCTTTCTCTGACCCTTTCTTCTCCTCCTCTTTGCCAAAACCCACCAGCAGGACATAATGGTTCACAAGCCAGGGGTCACAGGTGGAGGGCGTGGCCCTGATTATACCCTGCCGGTAATGCTGCAGAAGTGGGAACAGAGGGGCCGAGTCTGGGGCACTCTCCCAAATACCCCCTCCCCCCACATGCCCTACCCTACCCTACCTACCTGCAATAGCATCTGGTTGATGAGCACAGTGATAGGGCCCTGTGTGGCCACGTACCTGGCCATTGCTGGAGAGGGAGAGTGCCATCAGGCCCTGCCTGCCTTAGGGCTGCAGCTCTTGACACATAGGTGTCCCTCTCCCCACCCTCCACCCTCTGTCTGCCTGTCCTGTGCCTTTTGTCTTTCTCCCACCCTCCACCCATGTCTCCCCACTCTGGCCTCACTGTGTTCATTGCGGGGCAGCATGACGTAGTCTTGGATCCAGGCCACCTTCTTGTAGAACGGTGCCAGGCACCTGTGGATGTTGGCACGCCCCCGGAATCGGTAGTCCTTTTCACTGGCCAGACCACCTGGAGATAAGGAAGGACACTCTGTTCCTGGATGTTCCCGACTCCTACAGTTGTCCAACAAAGCCAGGTACTCACTGTAGTTGAGGACAGTTATGAACGCATCCCAGACGTAGCCACCCAAGCAGCCATCCCCACAGCGACCACAGTCAAGCAGCTCTGGGGCAAAAAGGACAGCATGAGTGACCATGCCCCTAGTCCTTCCCTGTCACATCCCCCTTTCCATGCCAGGCATACCTTGCACAGAGACTTCCACGGACTGTTTGAATCTGATGTTCCACAAAGCTTCAATGTTGCCTGCTGCTGCTATGGCCCAGCAGCAATTGCACTTTCCCTGGTGAGTTACAGGGTAGTGCATAGTGGGGTGTGTAGGCGGGGTGCCCCCCTCTTTTCTCACCCTTTAGACTGAATTAGGCTCGAGTGTGAGGGTGCAAATACCTGGTACTTGACAGGTGAGATGATATTGGGGGCCTTCCTCCAGTCGCAGCTTGGGGGAATCAACTCCTGCTTTTCAAACCTTACCTTTCTGCCCACCCTGAGGTCCTTCTTGGCTGCTCTCCAATTCCCATAGAGCTGGCCAAACTCTTCCTCTGGGAGACAGACAGCACCACAAAAGTTACAGCATTGACCTCACTCTCCATATTCTGCCTCTTCTATTCCAACCATCTATATCCTTGGCCTTTTGAGTTTTCCATAATACTCTGGAGGCAGCAAGGCAAGGATGCTGAGGCCCAGTAAGAGGCCAAGCTCCCAGCCAGTGCATTCCCCTGCACTTGCCTCTGGTCCCACAAAAAGGCTGAAAAAGTTCCTGACTCTCTACTCTGGGATTTGGGGCAGGTACCTAGGCTGGTCCTGAAAGCAGAAGTTCTGCTCTGTCTGCCAGGATCCCCGGGCAACCTTCTGCTTTCCCACCTTCCACCTTTGGACCAAGAGGGTCCCAGTACCTGTGAGGTCACTGAATGGAGTCACTCCAAACTCAGCAGTCCCCAAGTCCTCCTCTTGCAGCCTCTGAGCCATGGCCAGGTTGTGGACAAAGATGTCTAGGCGGCGTGCATGCTCTGGACCAAAAAGCAGTTGTCCCAAGCTGGTGTCCATTCGCCAGGGGCATGAAGTGGCCACAGGCTAGGCATCCTCCCACCCAGGCCAGTGTAGATCTTTTTCTGTAGTCCCCACAGGATGCACTGCAGACACTGACTGGGCCAAGGAAGTAGTTACCATCCCACCTAGGGTTACAGTTTCCCCCAGAGACAGCAAGGGGGCCATCTGCCCACCATGAGGGGAAGCAGTGACTCAGAAGGGAGAGTTGAGTGGTTAGAGACTGGCTTCCTGCTCAGCCACCTCTACCACCTCTTCACACATCTGACTGCCGGTCTAGAGGGGGGGACAGAGTGGGGTTGGGGGATGGGTGCCTACAGATAAGACTCCTTTCGGAGATGAGACCCCGAGAGAGGACAGGAGCTGAGCTGCAGCTCATAGAATGAGTCCCCACCTTGGGGACAATATGAATGCTAAATGAACACACGGCTAGATGCTGGTCCCCTGACCCCTGCCTAGAAGGACTGGAAGTGGCTGTGCAGAGGACACACTATGACTGGGTAGCTCCCCAACAACTGCTACCAGCTCTCCAAGTTTATGGCAAAGGATGATCCTACACCTACTTTTGGACTGGATCCTGCATCTACCCACAGCCCTGCTGTCCTGCTTAGCCCCACCCCAAGTATCAGACTCTTCATCTATTAAGTAAGGGCAGGGAGGTTGGACTAGAAATATATGTGCCCCATGGTACCTGCTGGGTTCGAGTAACTCTTGTTAAACTGGATCTGGAACAACTTGAAGACTTCTTTTAGCTCTAGTGGCCGGGGACCTGGGTCCTGACAAAGAATCAGGGAGGAGGTATAGTTAGAGGAATCATTGCTGGACTCCTTTATGTGAGCTCCAGCTGAGTAAAGACTGGGCTGGGGATCCCCTGGTTAGCCTCTCACCTTGTGTGAGCTTGGGAGTGGCACCCACCTCAGCAGCCTCAGTTGTTCCCTTTGAGAAATGGGGGTCCCCAGGCCAGTGGTTTCTGAAGCAGTGACCCCAGCCATGGGACTGGCAGTGGAAAAAGTATGAGGGGTAGGTTGGAGCACTTACCTGGGCCCTGAGGGAGTCCCTGATGCCTGGGGCTAGGCCTGTCACCAACAGGATCAGGAGGCCAGAAAGGTGGGCATTCAGAGCCATGATGGTTCAGAGCTGAGCACTGTTTGCCGAGTGCCAGGACATGAAGCTATATAAACCAAGTTGGAGGGGTGGAGCTGGAGAAACCACAAAGAGAAGCCAGGTTCTCAGTGGACTCTCAGCAGACAAAGTGCCTCAGGCTTTCTGGCTTTATTTAGTCTCCTTACCTACCTGCCTGTTTTTTGTCCCTCTACCAACCCTTTCTTTTTCTTCATTCAACAATGATTCTAGGCCACTCTGTTCTGGGCAGTTCTAGGTATGCAGAGATGGATCTGCCCTTAAGGAGACAGGAGTGACAATCTAGTGGGCACTCTTGTTCCTCCTGCGACGCTCAGTCAGCTCAAGGGCTACCTCCTTCAAAAAGCTCTCCCTGCTCCCCCAGTCTCTGGTGTAACTATAGCCCTGTGAGCCCCTGATGTCGCTGTACCTGCTTGGCATCTGCCTTCCAGCTACATGAGAGGTGTTCGATTTGCCTGTGTCCTCAGTGTCCAGGACAGGGCTACACGGAGCAAGCCAAATGGGTATTTATTGACTGAACAACTAATTTATCAGCTACTGCCTCCTGTTCCTCATTCCTGCCACAGTCTGGGGATGGCAATGAGCAGTCTCACTAGGGCTGAGGAAGGAGAAAGACAACAGGTAAGGTGGAGAAAAAATGGTGGAGTAAAGACAAGAAGCAAAGTACAATCTCTCAAGGTCCCTGGAGCTCAGACCCTTGAAGAACAACAACTTAGTGAAGAAAAACCCAAAATACATCTTTGGGAAGCAAGAAAGAGCCAACTGGAAAAGCAGAAACTACAGAGAAACAACACAAAGAAGATTAAAGAACGAAGCAGTCTAGGACACTAACCCTGGCTCCCAGGAAGGGGGACAGACCTATCTCCATAATACAGTGTAAGACTGGAGAGGGTCAGTAGCTCCAGGGAGGAAAAACGGACCCCGCTGACAGCACTAACCACAAGAAGAGCCCATGGTTGTTATAAACTGCAAATTCAACATGGGTTTTACTGTGACAGTAACTCCCACATAGCAGGCTAGTGTTGGAGAAGAAATGAGTGTACAAACCACCATATTTGATACTGTTTAATCAGAAGCAGCTTGGGAAGGGATTAATTGTTTTAAGACTTGAGCTACACTTCAAGGTTTCTAGAGTTACCATACCAGAGTGACTGGGTGGAGATGGCCACAAGAGACAGTTGTAGAGAGGCCATTGGCTAGACATAGACCCCCTAAGAAGTTGAAGCTCAGGCCAGGAAGAACATGGGGCTCCTGCCCTCTGTGGTGAGAAACCAGGCCGGTAGTGTGTGGTTTTCAGAGGTAGCTGGGTGTGAAAATGCTGACATTAAGTCCAGCAGGATGCTTGACCCACCCTCCCCCACCCCTGCCCCACTGCCTACATCCAGCACAGAACTCAGTGGTCTGTTTGCTTTTCTCATCTGCCAACATGATTAGGGAAAAGCCTCAGCTGGAACAGTTGCCACAGCCTGAGATGTACAGACAAAGGGCCCTCTGGAGCAGAGGGGCACCTTACAAGCCCACAGGCCATAAAGCTAGGTGGAGAAAGCAGTGACATGAGGCACACAGAGAGACATAGAAACTGGGAGCAGCTGGAACAAATACAGCCCTAGGGCAGGCACCTTTGACCAACCACACACAGTAGGTATGGCAGAGCAGAGCTCGGCATTCATATACAAAAAAGTGAGCATGGAAACAAAATAGGACTTAGTACTGACTCATTGTCCTCCCATATCTCATGGATTCCAATCCTATAGACCCTGGAAAGAAACCATTTATTCAAAAGAACAGTTAAATTTCTATTTTTCTTCATTGTTTTTTGGGGGCTGTTTAATTTCTTTTTCTTTTTTCCTTTTATTTTGCCCTCTGTTTCTTCTTTTTCTTATTTGTTTTTTTGTTACTTTTATCTAGAATTAACAATTAATAATTTTTTGTTATTAATAGGATCCTTTCTCACTTTTTTCTCTTGTCTCATCTTCCTTTTCTTTATTTTTCAAATTTCACTTTCATTTTTCCCTTCCCCATGCCCTCCACTTTTATTAGCTTTACTATTAAGCTTTATTAATATAGATATTTAGTTGACTATGCTATCATTGTTGAATTCTATTGTTAATGGCGGTATAGTTGTTCTACATAGCAGATGTTTATTGTTTGCCAATATTTTGTTTATCTTTGTATCTCCTTTTTTTTTGTTTGTTTTTGAGACAGGGTCTTGTTATATAGTTCAGGCTGGCCTTGAACTCACTATGTAGCCTAGGCTGTTCTTGAATTTGAGGCAATTCGCCTGCCTCAGCTTCTCGAGTGCTGGGATTATAGGCAAACACCACCACACCTGTCTATCTAGTCTTTTATGTCTAGTAGTGTTTGTTTTATGAAGCTGGGTGAGCCACTGTTCAGTGCACATATGTTTATAATTGTTATCTTGTTGAATTTGTTACCTTAACCAATATGTAGTGACCTTCTTTGACTCTTATAATCAGTTTTAGCTTGAAGTCCAACTTTGTCTGAAAATAGCTACTCTTTCTTGTTTCCAGGACCTTTTTGCATTAAATACTGTTTTCCATCCTGGGTTTTTTTGGTTGTTTTTTTTTCCGCGCCAGGGATGGAACTCAGAACTCAGAACCTCATGCTTGCCAGACAGGTGCTATGCCACTGAGCTAAATCCCCACCCTGATGTTCTTTGTTTTTTTTTTTGGTACCAGGAATGGAATTCAGGGCCTCACACTTGCCAGGCAGGTGCTGCACCACTGAGCTACATCCCTGACCCCATCTTCTGATTTTTAGTTTGTGAATTTTTTTAATTAAATGTGTTTTGATGTACACAGCATATCATTGGATTTTGTTTTTTGATCCAGTTCTGCCAATCTGTCTTTTGATTGAGGAACTGAGACCATTCATATTGAGAGTTATTACTGAAAGTTATTAACTTATTCCTGTCATTGCATTATTTTCTTGTTGCTGATTCTCTTTCTTCATTTCTGCTTAAGCCGCTCACCCTATATCATGTATTCTTTCTACAGACTTTTTGGCATTGTTGGCTTGCTTCTTTCTAAGATATCCTTGAGAATTTTTTTGGAGTGCTGGTTTGATAGTCATGAATTTCTTTAGGTGCCCTTTGTTGTGGAAAGACCTTACTTCTCCATCAATTATGAAATAATAATTTTGCAGGATATATTATTCTGGTATTTGAAGTTGTTTTCTTTTAGGGCTTGAAACACTTCACTCCAAGCTCTCCTAACCTTTAAGGTTGTGTAGAGAAGTCTGATATAATTCTTTTTATATATATATAATTCTTTATAAGTGTTTGTTGATTTTTTTCTAACTGCTTTTAAGATTCTTTCCTTGTGTTGGACTTCTGAGTTCTTGAATATGATTTTTTTTGGAGTTCTCTTCTGATTGTGGCTGTCCATGGTTCTATAAGCCTTGCTTATCTGTATGTTAAATTCTTTTCCCTTACTTGGAAAGTTTTCTGCCATTATATCTGTAAACAGGTTTTTTTTAAATGCCATCTTGCCATTCTTATGATTTTTCACAACCTTAATCTGTTATCTAGCAGCTGTTGGACCCATTTTCCATGATGTCTTGTTTTTAAGGTATTTCTGAATATATATTCACCAGTACTAGTCCCATTTTCTAGTCTTGACACTCTCCTCACACTGGCCACTTCTGCTGCCCATACCTTCAACAGAATTTTTTATCTCCTGGATTTCTGTTTGGTACCTTTTCATGGACTCTTAATTCTTTGCTAAACTGGTCATTCATGTTTTGTATCATTTTGTTTAGCTCCACTAGCATTTATTTTTTTTGGTACCGGGGATCAAACTCTGGACCTTGCGCTTGTGAGGCAGGCAGCGGCACCACTGAGCTAAGTCCCCAGACCTCCACTAGCTTTTTGTTCATGTCTTCTTTAAGTCCATTAATAGTTTTATTTATTTATTTATTTATTTATTTATTTATTTATTTTTGTATCTTAAAGTGCTTTTTATTTTGGTGTTTTTAAAATTTTTTGGGGGGGCCCATTCATTAATCATTTTAAATACATTATCTGTTTGTTTATATCATCTTTGAGCTCACTGAGCACATGTTTTACTTTTTGTCTCCTTTTTTTTTTTTTGCAGTACCAGGGATCGAACTCAGGGCCTTGCACTTGCAAGGTAGGCACTGTGTCACTGCACTAAATCCCCGGCCCCTTGTCTCCTCTTT